AAAAAAAAAAAAAAAAAAAATTAGCCAGGCATGGTGGCACATACTTATGGTCCCAGCTACTCAGAAGGCTGAGGCAGGAGAATCACTTGAGCCCGGGAGGCAGAGGCTGCAGTGAGCCGAGATCGCACCACTGCACTCCAGCCTGGGCGACAGAGCGAGATCCTGTCTCAAAAATGATAAAACTGGCTGGGCTTGGTGGCTCAAGCCTGTAATCCCAGCACTCTGGGAGGCCGAGACGGACGGATCACAAGGTCAGGAGATCGAGACCATCCTGGCTAACACGGCGTAACCCCGTCTCTACTAAAAATACAAAAAAACTTAGCCGGGCAAGGTGACGGATGCCTATAGTCCCAGTTACTCGGGAGGCTGAGGCAGGAGAAGGGCGTAAACCTGGGAGGCGAAGCTTGCAGTGAACTGCGATCCCCTTGCACCCCACCCGGGGCCACAGAGAGACCCCCTGTCTAAAAAAAAAAAAAAAAAAAAAAAGATAAAACTAAAAAAAATACATATATATATACACACACACACATATATATATACACACATACACGTATGTGTATACATACGTGTGTATATATGTATCTGTTTATATGTGTACATATGTGTAGATATACACACACATGAATATACATTTTTAATTTAAAAGAAAAAAAAGGTTTTTTTTTGAGCCAGAGTTTCGCTGTCACTCAAGCTGGAGTGCAGTGGCGCAATCTCTGCTCACTGCAGCCTCTGCCTCCCAGGTTCAAGCAATTCTCCTGCCTCAGCCTCCCAAGTAGCTGGGATTACAGACACCTGCCACCACGCCAGGCTAATTTTTTGTATTTTTAGTAGAGATGGGGTTTCACCATGTTGGCCAGGCTGGTCTCAAACTCCTGTGATCTGCCCCTCTTGGCCTTCCAAAGTGCTGGGGTAACAGGCGTGAGCCACCACACCCAGCCTATTTTTTATTTTTTTGAGACGGAGTCTCACACTTGTCGCCCAGGCTACAAGTGTGAGAGTTCAGTGGTGCAGTCTCCACTCACTGCAGCCTCTGCCTCCTAGATTTAAGTGATTCTCCTGCCTCAGCCTCCCGAGCAGCTGGGATTACAGGCGTCTGGCACCACACCTGGCTAAGTTTGGTATTTTTAGTAGAAGCAAGGTTTTGCTACGTTGGCCAGGCTGGTCTCGAACTCAGGACCTCAGGTGATCTGCCCACCTCCACCTCCCAAAGTGCTGGGACTACAAGCATGAGCCACCGTGCTCGGCCACAATACATTGTTTAAGTAATTCCCTCACTGACAGGTTCCTACAAGTGAAGTCGAGCCCCCAGTACAGCTGACGGCAGAGGAACTGGAAGCTCTGCAGGAGACAGAATCACCTCAAATACGCTTCCTGAAAAGCTGGGGCCATGAGCAGCCTCCCCTTCACATCCCCATGGGGACCCTCTCCGGGGCCCACGGGGGCGGGTGGAGCCCGGCTCCGAGCCAGGAAGCTCAGGTGGAGGTCGCGCCGTGTCCTCTGGGGCAGCGTTCCGCATGCCGCGACCCTGGGCACTCAGGGCAGGACAAGCGCCCATTAACCCTGTGGGGTGGGCCGGGGCTGGGGGAGGGGCTCACCTGCAGGGGCGGCGGGCTGTACAGGAGGCTGCCTGCCGGCGGGGGCTCATGCTGCGGGTAATCCCTGTCCATGGCGGGCCCCACTGCAAGCATCGGGCGGCAGGCGGGGTGGGGTCCTCGGCCGGGCGGCAGGCAGCGGGGCTCCGGGACCCGGGGCCGCCGGGGTGTCTATCTGGGCTTCTCGCTCCGTGGTGGCGGCGGTGGCGGCGGTATCATGATCTGCAGAGGGAGACGTGGACGTCCTGAGAGTCTGTGGAGAGTGGTGCTCCCCCGGCCTCCTCTCCCTCGGGCATGACCTGCCCCAGCCTGGGCTGCAGCTCCTGCTACCCCCTGGGCCAGAACCGAAAGGTGCTCCTTCCCCTCCCTGCTCATCCCCACCCCACACCAGCAGCGCCATCCAACCCCTCTGTGCCGTCCACAGGCCTTTCCTGGCCTCCTCAGCCCCCCCCCCACCTACACCGATTAAGGTGGGCCCGACAGGGCTGCCCAGCTCACAGGGCAGCCACAGGACCAGGCACCCCAGCTGTGCGCAGCGGAGCTGTGGGCTGACTCCCCCACACCTGGCTTTGCAACCAGCCGGTCTGAGACTGCAGAGGGAGAGTCCAACCTGGGCCCGGCACCTCTGAACCAGGGGCGCCCAGGCGGCGCTGGACCCAGCCCGGTCCCTCAGACGCAGCAGGGCTCCACAGGGGGGTCTCCCAAGGAGAGGGGTCAGGGGCCACGTAGAGCTGGAAAAGCGCCCAGACCTCATTTCAGGCTAACCACACACCAGTGTCCCCACTGAGAACACTACTGAGCTACAGAGTCGAGCCTCACACCGTCAGACGCCAGGGACAGCTCCCACGTGCCCCACGGCCTCTGGCACACAGCCAGACGCCCGCCAGGCTGAGCCCCCACCAGGCCCTACCTGGTGAGTGCAGGGACCAAGGATGGCCTGTGGTGGCAGGGAAAGCTTTGCAGGCGTCCGCCCAGCGTGCTCACTGCCGAGGGCAGCAGGAAGGGGAGGCGGCAGCCACTCCCGGCCAAGCCCTGGAGTGAAGAAATCTCCGGGACTTCCAGTAATTGCCGTACAGCCACACGCAGGCACTTGTGCAATCCCGTGGGGGAGAGGTACGCCTCTGCCCAGCGCTCCAGAGACAGTGGCTGGGGAACAGGGGCTGGGCGGGTGGTCGGGACTCCTGTCCCAGAGACCAGATGGAAGTGGTCAGGCACAGTGGGGCCACCCTGCCAGGTCGTCCTGACCGTCTGCGGCCTCTGCCTGCTCCCTGTGGTCAGGACGCCACAACCCACTGCCACCAGAGCTGGGACCCTCGGCGGCCCTTCCAGCTGCCCGCAGGGACCTGCGACGCCCTTGCCAGAACTGCCCTTTAGGGGAAGGGACAGGCCCGCTGGGATCTGGGGTCTTGGCCAACCCTCGTCAAAGATTCTGGGTCAGGCAGGATCAAAGCCTGCCCCACCTTCTGAGTAGAATAACCTCAGACACCCAGACTCCTCCAAGCCTCGGTATGTTCCTCTGGAAGACAGGTTAACCGGGTGGAGCCTGGGACCCCGCCCTGGCCCCGCGGGCTGGTGGCCACCAACAGCTCCGCTGGGTCCCAGGCAGCTGCTGACGCCAGGGTCCCCGCTCGGGGGTTCGCCAGTGCTGGTGGGTGGCCCACCCCCCCGCCCTGGGGCTCAGCAGCCCCTCCCCTGCGGGGACCCCCCTTGGCTCCTGTCAGCACCCCTTCCCGCTGCAGGTTCCATCTCACGGCAGCCACATCCCCAGACCTACGCTGACCCTTTCCACACTCAGGACGCTCCTCAGCTCTGAGGCCACACGGCCCTGAGCTGACGGACAGCGGGGCCCAGAGCCCACGGTGGACAAGCTTGGGGAGGAGGTACCTTGGGCAGCTTTGGGTCGACCCCATGACCGTCCTTGGGGTACACCATAGCTGAGGGACCCCTCCAGCCGCAGGGGCCCTGAGCTCGCCTGTGTCGGAGTCCCCGGGGCCACCACGGTGCTCCTGGCAGCTCCTCCCTCCCTGCGGTCTCTGAGCCCCCACCTCTGTGGACGCCCCTTCCAGGCGGCAACCCCAGGAGGCTCAGGGGACCGGGTTCTTCAAGGGGCGGGTTTCACACATGGCACGTGACCTGGAGTCCACGCCTTGGGGACCTGGCAGGGTGTGGAGACCTAGACCAGGAGGGGATGGGGGAGGAGAGCAATGCGGACAACAGGCACAACCAACCAAGAGTCAGGGCCCAGAACCAGGAGGCGGAGCCGGAACCTCACGCGGCCGCCTGGCAGACTGGGATTCCTCAAGAGGCTAACGCCGGAGTCACCACACCACCCCGCAATTCCACACCACACAGAAACGTGCCCATGCACACCCACGGCAGCACCACTCACAACAGCGGCCGGCGGAAGCAGCCCAGCGTCCACGGACGGGCGAGTGGACCAGCATGTGGCGTGGCCCATCCACGTGCCGGAACACAACCCAGCCAGCCGTGAACAGCAGCGAGGCCCTGCCCCAGGCCACAGCGTGGACGCACCTTGAGGACGTCACGCTCTATGAGAGACGCCAGACACAGATGGCCACACAGCATGTGACCCCACTACTATGAACTGCCCAGGACAGGCCCATCCGGAGACAGAAGGGGATGCGTGGGTGCCGGGCTGGGTGATCCTGGCCTGGGGCCCACCCCTACGTCCTCCCACAACCCAACACCTCAGGCTGTGCCCACTCCTGAGAACGCTCGCCCTCTGCCACCCCTCAGGACCCACATCTGCCTTTCCACGCACTGCCGGTCCCCCATCGCCTGCCGCCCTGTCCTCGGCCGTATCGCACAACCCCTGCCACCCTGACCCCCAGGCTCTCCCGCAGCCCCCAGCCCCGCCTGCAGGCTCCGTCCTGTCCGAGGGCCCACGCCCCCAACGGCTGGCTCCCGGCCCCGTGGTCCTGAGCCCTCCACACCCTTCCCCCATCGACTCCACCACCGTTTCTTGCAGCAGCTGTGACCACGCCATGTCCCTGGGGCATCCAGCTGCCCCATCCCCAGGATAAACCCCAGGGGGCACTGGGCGGGGTCTTGGGGCCTGAGAGCACCCCAACGCCACCTCTGCCATGCAGCCCCAGTGACACAGACCGAGCCTCAGAGCCGCGGGCCAGCCAAACGCCCAGCGGGCACCAGAGCTGTGCCTTCGTCTGGCTTTACTTTTAGGCGTGAGTCCCGTGACTGGAGGGATGCGCGGTGCGGGGGGGGTCACACGGTTCCCACGCTGGGGAGGACCCGCACTTTCCACGCTGACTTCCGGAGGGAGATGTGGCTTCCTTCTGAAATCAGGTCTTCAAGGGAGTCGTCGTAAAAGAGAAAGATGAAGGCGCTGGTGGCCCAGGCAGGACAACGGCTGGGAAGGCAGAACCTCAGACAGGACCAAGAGCCGGGAGAAACCGAGGAACCAGGTAACTGCGGCCGCCTCCCGCCCCTCTCTCCCGAGTCCGGGTAACTGTTCCGCCTCCCGCTCCTCTCTCCTGAGTCCGGGTAACTGCGGCCACCTCCCGCTCCTCTCTCCTGAGTCCGGGTAACTGCAGCCGCCTCCCGCTCCTCTCTCCTGAGCCTGCCAAGGTCCCTGTCTTCCCGGCTGGATGCCCCAGGGTCTCACTCCACACTGCAGCAACAGCTCAGCCTCCTGATGTTCCGAACTGGCCACTGCCTGGACCCTCCGCCTGGGGGTCCCTGAGCACCTGTCTTGTGGAGCTCCTTCACCCCTCTGCACTCCTCCCCGAGACCCGAGACGTCTGCAGATGGGGAACTGTGTCCACGGGGCCCGGTTCTCCTGCCGTCCTCTTGCTGAACAAGGTTGTGACCTCTGCACTTTCTGATGTGGACACGGAGACCCCTAGGTGGAGCCTCGACGTGACCCCAGAGCCGGACTCAGGAGCTCAGGCCACGCTGTGCCCACGTTCGCCACGGCAAAGCAGAGACCCTGAGAAGACGCTGGCCGCAGAGCCATAACCGAGACCACAGGAGGACCCTGGCACACCCCAGAGCACTCCGCCCAGGCCTGGGTTCTGGTCGCCTGGCACAGCCGGCAGGCATCTCAAGGCCCATGCCAGCAAAGGCAGACACGGAGGCCTGAGGAGGCTGCAAGTCCTGGGCGAGCGAGCACGGCCGTGTGATGGAGCCCCGCAGAGGCTGCCGCACGGTCCCTCGAGGCCGCGTTACCTCAGCCGAGATCCTCCCAGCAGGCACAAGGTGCTCCCTCCTTCCCAGGACCTGAAGACGGCAAGGAGCAGGCCCCCGGGTGTCCAGGAACACCGCAGAGCCGCAGCCATGAGGAGTGCGTCACGGGACAGAGCAGCCACGCGGCCTCCGGTGACATCACAACCATGACCGCCACCTGCAGCCGTGACTGCCGCCCCACGGCCGTGACCCCACCTGCGGCCGTGACCGCCGCCCCACGGCCGTGACCCCACCTGCAGCCATGACTGCTGCTCCACGGCCGTGACCCCACCTGTGGCCATGACCCCGCCTACAGCCGTGACTGCCACCCCACGGCCGTGACCCCACCTGCGGCCGTGACTGCCGCCCACTGGCCTCCAGAGAGGCTGAGGACAGGGTGGTCACCCTTTACCTGGCAGGCGCGCAGCGTGGCATCCTAGGACCGGGGGGTGGGGGAGCTGGCGGATTTCACAAGGCTCAGCTAATATGGGGCAGAGAGCCCTGCAAGCTCCGGGCACCTGGCCAGGCCCCAACTTGGCTGCCAGGACCGTCTGGTGGGGAGGACACCGCAGGCCGTCTCGGGTCCTGACCCCCGCAGACAAAGTGCTTCATCCCTCAACACGGAGACTGGGGCAAGTGAGGCCTGAAGGGCTGGAGCCAAGGCAGGCTCAGCCCAGTGAGGGACACTGGGGGGATGGGGGGTAGCAGGGGACAGTGGGGGGTCAGCGGGGGACAGAGGGACAGCAGGGGGACGGGGGACAGGAGGACAGCAGGGGGACAGTGGGGGGACAGCAGGGGACACAGTCAAGACATCCATGAGGTTCCCCTGCTCCTAGGCCAAGGTGCCTGCTTGAGACGACTTCACCCCCCACAGAGCTGGGCAGCGGCAGAGCAGGGGGGGCCAGGGAAGGGAGGCGGGTGAGGGAGACCCAAGTGTCCAGCACTGTCCCCGCCCATGCCGGTGCTGCTCTCTGCAGCCACTGGCCTCCGGGTGCCCCCGCCTGCCCCACCATGCAGCC